CTTGCTATATGTTCCTTGACTTTCCCCTTCCCTTCCTTTTCCCCACCCCCCCTCCCTCCTTCCCTCTTGTCTCTGTTGATTTCTTTTTCTTTTAGTGTTGCTGGTCTTATTTTCTTAAGGTATTTCTTGGTAAGGTATTTTAAGTGTCTTCTCGAGAACTGTTTCTCAGAAACCACTGTGATTTTCTCCTTGACGTGTTCAATGTGAATAACAGTCCTGAGACATCCAGCTTTTCCTTCTCCTTAGAAACCATTGAAACTTTCTGGATTCTAAAATTCCGTCTCCCATGGGATGAGGAAGGCCCACCCTGCGCTCCCAGGCCGCCCTCTTGGCTCCTTTGCGTTGGGCGCCATCGCGAAGGGGGTCCGCATGACCAGGGAGCTTATTGTGTGTTTTCTCAAATGGAAACCATTTATTCAGAAGAGGCTGTGGAGCTCACGGGCGTGAACGTGAAAGAGAATTAGCCCTCGGCATTGTGCTTTGTTTTTCTTTTCAGCACTCAGACCCTCTGTAATAGGCAGGCCGGAGCTGGGGTGGGTTGGTGTCGCCGCGGGGGGCCCGTGCCCCTGGCGCGCTGGAACTCCCGGGCGCACCCTGGATTCGGGTCCCTGGGACGCACCCAGGTCCTGTACACCTCTCAGCCCCCGAGGACCTCAGAGAAGGACAGTGCCACAGCCCTGGAGGGAGCCCAGGGCCCACGGGCCCCTGGCCGTGCAGAGCTCACTCCAGCGGCTGCTCCTGCGCACTGCGCGCACCTTCAGTCTTGGCACGTCCTCCATGGGCGCGTCGTGGATTATCGTCCCTACGACTGCAGCCGGCTTGCCAGTGGGTGCGACTCCGGAAGGACCTGGTCAGCACCACGTGGTTGAAGGGGGGGTTGGCTCCTGTGGCCAGAAACCTCTACAGCCTCACCAACAGCCTTAGGCGGACGTCCTGGCTCTTGGGCTCCCTGCGCCCAGCCTTTCAGTCCTTGTGGTGGCGGAGTCCACTGCCCTGTTGGCGCCTCCTGCTCCACCAGGTCCAGAAAGAGCTGCTTGGGACTCCCAGGGTCAGTTGAGGTCAGGGGTCGGACCGGGTGTGTTTTCCGGGAAGAGGACACGTGGATGCAGACAAGGTGAAGGAACTGGCCAGGCTGGAGAAAGCCAGGGGTGAGGCAGTGCTTGGAAGCAACGGGGGAGGGGACGGGGGGGGGGGGCGGGGCGAGTGTCTGACTGCAGGTACAGGGGTCAGTAATCTGGATTCCAGGAGATTAGGCTAGACGGCCTCCCGAAAACAGGCCTGGGGCATTTAAGTCCCTGGGGGGGAAAGGTGGGGCAAATGTTCAAAGCAGGGTCAAAGATCTAGGGTATCAATTCCGAGGGAGGCTCCAGGTGGGACCCGGGCTCAGGGAACACGTGGCTGCCCTTCCTAGGACTCCAGACTCAGGAGGCGCATGGGCACCTCTGACTGGGTGGGGGTCCTGGTGGGGGTGGAGGAGGGGACAGTGTGGAGCGCAGTGAGGGCAGGACCAAGCGAGGTCCCAGACCCAGAGTGGAGCTGGGCGGCAAGAAGTGGGGTTCCCGTCAGTGTGCCCGTCACTGAGAAGGGGCCCTCAGGAGAGAAGGGTCCGGAAGGCCAGTCACTCACGGGGAAGGGACAGGGAGTCCCTACCCACACCTGGGGGCACTTCCAGTTCCAGCACAGGGCTGTTGATGTACAGCGGCGATTTTCGACGGGTGGGCCGCGCAGCCCCGGCAACTTTGAAAGCACACAGCGCCTGGCTACTGAGTCCGGGGCGCTGACCTCTGCTCCCCTAGAGTGTCCCATAAAAAAGGACACGAGCCAGCAGGATGGTAGCGGTCTCACGTGAACGCCCTGTCTCGAACCATGAATAAGCAGGTCATACAATGTGTTGCATCTGATTGGTCACATGGTATAATAAGGTTGCGCCTAATTGGTTAATTCTTGGTACTAGAAATCCTTATATGCAAATAAAAGCCCCTGATTTTTTTTTTTTTAAGAGTCACTTAGGAGCAGAAAAGGGTAGGAAATTAGTATTATTTTTTTTTGTAAATCAATGAAAATTACACCTATTTTTTGTTAGATCAGCAAAAAAGATATTTTTTTCGGTGTGCTTTCGAATGTCAGTCATTAGCTTACGTGGCCCGTGACGTGAAAAAATTTGGAAATCCCCGATGGGCAGGGCTGGGCCGTGGCGTGGAGGAGGGAGAGAGCAGGGGCCCTCCTGTGGAGGTGGGGGCGTTAGGACCCCCGTTCAAACAGCAGAGTGACCAAGAGGGCTTCGTTTTCGGCTTTCTGGTATAGCTGGCCTTCTGGGCACTGTTGGGAAGCTGGCCAGTGGTGCCAATTAAGTGACCAGGTAAAAAGGGTAAACGATGATAAAAGATAAAGGCAAGAATGAGAGGGGAGCTGGAGAGCCGGGAAAAGGAAGGGGGGGAAGGGGCGGTCAGGACGCAATGGATTAGAAACAAATGTGAAGGAGAGCGGCAACCCTGTGATAAGAAAGTGTGGAAAGCCGGACTGATCTGGGAGGAAATGAGGACAGACGAGGAAAGGAGTCGAGGAAACAGGCAGTTCAGGTTATGGGATTAGCTCCACTGGGCTCGTCCCCCTCCTTCCATCTGATCTGTTGGTAGGGTGTCTACACAGTGGCGGTGCTTTAGGAACCCCCAAAGTACAGCCTTTGCTCTTCGGGCGCACGCCGAGCTTTGTTGAAGGTGAAAACATGCGGTGCAGCCTGCGGATGAATGTTAAACCATGAAGTAGTTCCAGGTAATGAACAGAACTGTAGAACTTCGGGGCTGTTTCTCTGGGCACGGGGCGCGGGGGGGGGGGGGGCGGCGAGTGCATTAGAAGATAATGTATTTTGAGATTAGTTGACTCATAAAAGGTACACTTAAATATCTGTTTTCTTTAAGCAGTTAGATTTAAAAAATTGGCTGCCTTATAAAAACAAAACGGGGTGTTGGAACTACCAGAGCAACGAGGGAGAGTGGGATGGAAGCCTGCCTACCGCGCGCCCCACGTCTCCCGCGGACCGTCCGTCACGCTCGTCGTCCTCTGCAGACGTCACACTGAGCGCTCGAAGGCAGAAGAGGACCTTCGATTTTACGGCCACACACTTTGTGGCTGTACCTGTCACGCAGTAAGTACTCGATTAATTTGGGGGAAGCGTCAGGGCCAGGCTTCCTGCCTGAGAGGTGGAATCCACAATCCAGCTAAGCCCTTGGAGGCTTTAGAATGGCACTACTAAATACTGGGTTCGGTTGGGTTGGTTTTTTTTTTTCGTAAAGTAAAAGACACATTTTTCATTTTCACCAATAACTTTATTGATTGGGATATTTTGAGGATGTCAGCTGTCTCCCATGTAGTGTAACACTGACTGTTCTCAACTAATGTCCGATCATTACCAACTTCCACTGGTCTACCTGACTGTGAAGCATCCTCCAGCAAGAAATCTCCAGCGCAAAACTTTGCAAACCACCTTTGACCCGTTCTATCAGTCACAGCACCTTCTCCACGCCCTGCACAAATCTTTTTGTTAGTTTTGCTTTTCAGTTGCATTTTTACTTTTCTTGAAATAATAAAGCATAACAGGCTGAAAATGTCGCATTTCTTCCATCTTCAATATTAAAATACCTACACAAAAATTCACCAATTTTGATTAAAAAAAATGCACGCTGATGACAGCTGTCATAATACAATCTAACAAAATTGTTTCTAATTAAGTTGGAGACAACTAAGCGCTACTAGAGCCATCTTACAGAGAAACAAACTTCCTAGCCAATGCAATACGTAATTGCAGTGACCACTACAAATATCTGGGCAGTCAATGTAGTTTTTCCAAATTTCTAGTCGCCTTTGGAGGTGATTTTTTTTTTCCTCCAAGAGTAGCAGAATTCTGACACTGCAGAATGCAACATTTCTAAAGTAGACGCCCCTACACCCTTCTGCTAGTCTTCCCTCAGCCGAGGGCGCGCAGGTCCCCACCCCCACCCGAACCCGCTGCTGAGACTCGCTCCCTTTTCCCATCCCCCAACCTTCGCACTCCACAGCGCGCACCCTTACTGGCCGGCAGCCGGTCTGCAGCCAGGGTATCTCCGGGCTCCAAGCTCGGCTTCTCTAGGGCGGTCACAAGAGCCCAATCCCGGAGCGGGGCGGGTGATGGGCGGGATCGCGCTCCCCGCACGTCGGCTGATTGGAGCCTCCCTTACCCCACCCTTCCCGCCGCGCTCCAGCCTCCATCCCCCTGGGCTTCAGCTCAACCCGCCCCGCCGCCTTCTCCCCTGGGAGGAAAGAGCCACTTTAGAGCGCCTTAGAGCTTCTCGGGTGGGATAAAAGTGTTCAGGAGCAAGTGGAAACCACTTCATTTCTCGAGGCCTTCGATTTGCGCGGTGCCCGTCCGCTGGTTCTCGCGGGCTACCTTCCGCACCAATAATAACCGAACTCCCACACGTGCGTCTTTCTGCATCTGGCCCCAACGGAAAGCACCACGCCGCGGGCCCTTTAAAAGGATGCGACCACTAAGGCCAAGTGGGGGGTGGGCGAGAGGCCGTCATTGTCCGCACTCCTGAAAGTCATTCAACTCCTCAGTCGCGAGCACCTGCGAAGCGGAGCGCCCCTCGGAGCGGTTCCTGGGGTGCCGCTCGCCCGCGTCCACTCACACTGCGTTCACGGGGCGCGCGGTTCGCTCTCCCCTCCCCCTCTCTTCCCGTGCAGCTGTCCCGGCCGGGGTGGGGGCGGGGTTGTTGTTGTGGCGGGGCGGCCCCGCCCCCTCCTCGTGGCGGCCCCGCCCCCGGGCCTCGCTCGGGCCCCGCCCCACCCCCGGCCCCATCTGTGTGCGCCGGCCGCGCGGTGATTGCATCGGACCGGCTGGGGGCGGCCGCCGCGAGATGGGGCGCGGGCGCGGAGCCCGCGGGCAGCCGGAGCCGCAGCCGCCTCAGTGACTCGGGCGAGCCATCGCCCCCCGCGCCCGCCCTCAGCTCATGCTCACGCCGAGCGGCGGCGGCAGCGGGAGGAGCCGCCGCCCGCGCCCCCGCCCGCGGAGCTGAGGCGGGAGTCCGGCGGGCAGCGTGGGGCCGCGAGGCGCGCGTCGAGCTCGGGGCCGGCGCTCCGGCCGCCAGCGCCGCGGCCGGGAGATGTGCCCGGAGGAGGGCGGCGCGGCCGGGCTGGGCGAGCTCCGCTCCTGGTGGGAAGTCCCGGCCATCGCGCACTTCTGCTCGCTCTTTCGCACGGCGTTCCGCCTGCCCGACTTCGAGATCGAGGTGAGCGGCCGCGCGCGGCGCCCGATTCCGCGCGGAAGGGAGCGGCGCCCGGTGGAGGGCTCGGCGCAGGCGGGCGGCGCGGACCGGCCGGGGCAGGAGTCGGGCTCGGGACGGGGGCGGGCGGCCGCCGCGCGCACCGCGCCTGCTCGGGCGAGGCGGAGCGGGCGGCGGGCAGCCGAGCGCGCTTTTGTGGGAGTGGGACCCCCGCGCTCCCCGGGCTCCGGGAGCTCCGTCTCGGGGCGGCGGGAGCGGCGCGCCAGCTGCCCGCGGGACGGGGCACCGGGCGGGGCCGCGGGGCCGGGCGAGGCGCGTCCCTTCGTCCGCGGGCGCGCCGGGCTGAGTCGGGGCCGCGGAGCCGCGGAGGGAAAGTTTAGGACTCCGTTATTTTTGAACCGCGCTTCTCTCGTCGGAACGGACGGCCCTCCCTCGGCGGGGCCCTGCGGAGCCCCGGGGCCGGCTTCGCCACCATTATCGCTGCAGGAGGGGGCGGCCCTGGCCTGGCCGAAGGCGCTCATGCCCGGGGCTTTGTGAGCGCCGCGCTCAGACCCGGGCTCCTCGCGGCGGGGCGGGTGGCGGGAGAGCGGGGCACGGAGGGGACCCGGTCGCCCAGGCGAGCGGCCATCCCGGCGGCGTTCGCGTCCTCCTTTCTTTTATTTTTATTTTTGGAAGGCGGTGTGAAATATTTGATTGGTCGGCAGGTTGCATCGCGCGGTCGCCTAGCGCAGTCTGCGTAGGAACTTCCCACCTTGTGCCTTTGCACAAAGGTGGATGCAGTCGGTGGGTCAGTTTTCCTTCTCAGTTCCGCCCGGGAGTTCGCCGAGGGAGTCATCAGAATAGGAATCGCCCGGTCGGAGGAGCGAATCGTGGTCGCGGCCTCCCCGCCCCCACCGATCTCACTTTCTGCCATTTTCGGATTGATTTCAGTGCTTTTACTCCCGCTGGATTTTTGGCCTCGCCTTTATTTTTAGATTTTGAGCCGTTCGCGGAGATGCCGTTCGCTTCTCCGATGAGTGGAGTGTGGGAACTTGCTCTGGTTGGGGAGTTAATGAAATCGGGAAAATAAAAAGATCAAAAGGGCCGGGGTGGGAGGATGAGGAGGAATGCAGACTGATACGCCGCGGCCGTTCTCTGGCTGCCTAGTTCCGTAAACTGATTAAAACAATGTGATTACCTCGCGCGCGGCTTCTGTTTTAGGAAGATGGAGTCACTGGGGTATTTTAGGTAGCACCACAGTGTTTATTTGCAAAGTTTGAACGTGATTGTGAAAAGCATGCTTTTCACTAAAAATTTTATTGGGGCGACTTGTTTATATGGATTGGAGAGGAACAGGGCCACAGGAAGGGAAGGTTTGGGAACGCTGCAAGTGGGGAGGGCCTCCCCATTATTGCGGTGACCCTGTGTTTTCCTCCGGTCGGTATGAGATCGTAAGCGGTTTCAATCCTGGGGCTCAAAATGGTGGCTGTTTGTTTGGGAGGTTTGGCCCGAAGCAGCGCGTCTGGGGTGCGGGCTGGGAGCGGCCCAGCCCATTTTCTTCCTTGCAAACCACACGTTTCGGGTTTAGGGGCGCATTCTAGAAGTACCGTGGGCAAACCTACCTTTCAGAGCCCATATATTCCCATTTTGTTGGTGGGAAAATAGAGGTGACTAATTTCGCCCTGTTACGGATACCAGGAGTCATCTATCAATAACTTGCCTTCGGTTGGGAGAAGTAAACTTGATTTCTAGGGATTAGCTACTGTAATTCCTAAAGGAAGTACAAGCTGATCGAGGTGGTCAAATTCGTAGGGGTCACAAATGAGGACTGAGCTGCAGGTGAGTGATAACCGCTTGAGATGGCAGGTTCTGGGGGTGACCCTCCCCCTGTGTGGGTGGAGGGTTTGCTGTTTGGAACTCTCGTAGCAGGAATGGGAATTTGGAGTCCATTTTGGTAACTAGTCACACCTGTATAGCCTTTCCTGTTTCTCAGGCAAGGTGTGGTTTGAAGTGGTTAATGTGAAATTAAACCTAAAATTTTCAGTCATTATCAGAAATTAAAGCTTAAAAATTTATCTTTAGGCTTGTAGGAAATTTGATTCAGTGACAGTGGAGAAGTCACCGAAAACACCACGAGTGTGGAGTCTCTAAGTAAATTTATTTTTACTTGTGTAGGTGATTTTTTAGCCTCACAGGTGATTGTCCTGTCAGTTTGAGAAACCCGGCCTCGGCTGGAGGTCACGATGCCGTGGGAGACCCTTCTTAAGAAAAGGCCACAGTTCTCCTGCGGAGCTGGACCTCGTCAGGCCACGGGAAGGCCTGCAGCCCTCTCGGGTGGCCGCCTTAAAGGTGGAAATGATGGCTAATGCCAAGTGGCCGAAGTTGGGTATCAGCTTCATCGGGAAGCCAGTGTTCACCAGTGGGAACGATCTCATGTTGCTCTGGACCTCCAAGCGGAACCCATGGATTCACAGAAATTCGAGGGAGCAGAATCCTCCAGGCCTTGGGTTCTGTTTGGAGTGAATCAGTCTTGAGAGTGAAGGGCTGTGAGGATTCATGCTGCCGTTCTGCAAGGGGGCAAGACCTCCCCCTTGGAGAGCCGTTCCCCTAAAGCGTGGATATTATTTTTGCGTGTAAAAGAGAAAACTTTGTTCTCTGTTCACGACCCTTGAATGCGCAGCACCCCTCGGAAGAGCCGAGGCGCTGGAGCCCTGCTTCGGGGGCCTGAGTAAGGAAGGCCTTGTATGTCGCCGCCCACCCCCGTACTGGGGCTCTGCACTCATCAGGCCAGGACTTGTGACTGTGTAGGTAATGTTTGAAGTTGTTCAAAATCTCTGACTTTAAAGGTAAAAATAAACATTACGTGAAACTTGAGGATTAAAGCAAAATAGAGGTAAGAGAATTACAGTCGCCACAGTGCCGCCACTCGGGTAAGCGCTGTTAGCGGGTTTGGAGGTTTCCGAACACCGGCCGGCGCCTCTGCCTCGGTGGCTGGGTGTCTTTCTGTTTCCCAGATGCGGGTGTGGAGGTGCAGCTCACAGCGGCGGACAGCAGGCACTGCACTCAGTAGTTGTTGCTGATCTCCCCAGAGATTTAATGCTGATTTTTCTTTTTCCTAGACAAGTTATTTTTGCAGTGAATATAGTGAGGTACTTGACCGAAGTAAGGGGGGGAAGATAGAATCATTGTGCATAATCGAGTCTAGAGTGAATCTTGATGGGCGTGGGGCTGGGAGCGGAAACCCCACTGCAGACACTTTGGGCCTATTTTCTTCGGGGAAGAGACCGGGATGCCTCTCGGTGACGGGTTGAAAACAGTCGTGTAAGATTACCTGAGTGGCCCCTGGATGCTGTAGCAGCCGGGTGACAACGACCTGACGGCCTGTCTGCTTTTCTGTCCTGAGCTCCCAGCCTCCCAGTACCAACGCCTTTGCCTCCTTTGTATCTGCTTCCTGGCTGTGGGGTTTGTGGTTCAAGTCCTCACCGCCGTCAGCGTGGGGATCCGGGCAGTGTTTTGAATGCAGGTTCCTGAAGTCTCCCCTTGTGTTCCCTGGGATCCAGCCTCTCCGTTGAGAGCACCAAGGCACGAATTAGCATTTGTTACAATACCTCATAAAAATCACCGAGGGCGGCTCAGCAGCGCGGCCCTTGGGCCAGGGGCTCCCAGCAGCACGTGTGGGTACACATGTGGGTACGCGTGCGTGCTTTGCTGGAGGGGAGGGACTGCTGCACCCCTCACATCCTGACCCCAGCCGCAGAGGTGGAGAGGCCGTGAATGAGGCGGAAGAAGAAGCTGGCTCTCAATAGGGCCATTGGTTCGTGACACAGGGGGCCCTGGACTAGGAGTCAGGGATCTTGAGCTCTTATTCTGATGGTGCCACTAACTAGCTTTTGTGACTTGGGGCAGGTAGACTTAGCCTAGTGACAAAAGGCACTCGTATGGTAGCACTTGGTACACTTTCCAGATGTCATCTCACTCTGTCCCCAGCCGCCCCTGACCAGCACGGTGGGGTAGGAGTCATCCTCACGTTATAGAGGAGGAAGTGGGAGGTTCAGGAGGCCAAGGCGCTTGCATGTAGACTTTCACATGGATCTCGGGTCCTTCGATGCCAAATTTTGTGCTGTTGCCTCTGTCTCACACAGTCCCTACCTCCGTGTCCTCACTCAAGGACATTTTCTTTTCATTGCTTTTAGAAAGAGAGGAAGGGGGAAGAAAAACACCAGTGGGTTGCCTCCCGAGCACGCTGGACCCGTTCCCCAGGCCTGTGCCCTGACCAGGAATTGAGCCGAAGCCCTTTGGTTACAGGACATGCTCCAGCCAAGCGAGCTGTGCAGCCGGGGTCCTCATGCTGCTTCTCCTGCAGGCTTCATCGTCCGTAAAACGAAGGGCTGGACCGAAACTCCACGGTGCAGATCGGCAGTCATTTGCTCCTTAATAATGTGGGGTACAGGAGATTGTTTTAAAACTCTTGCTTAATTAAGTACAGAAGGACAGGTTCATGACCTCATTTGTTTCTTTCAGCTGATACTTCATGAGCACCTACTGTGTGCTAGGTGCAGTGTGCTAGGCACTGGGGGTGCAGATGGGAACACAACACAGAGATGCCCGCCCTCTGCAGTGGAGGGAGACGGCCGGATGGTAGACAAATCATGTAGCGAGTCGGGGTGGAGGGAGGGCCATGTTGAGGGGGGTTGTTGCAATTTAAGATGGGGCGATGAGGCGCTGCCTGACTGTGAGAAGGTGGTGTGTGAGTAGGCCTGTGGGTAAGTGACTTAGAATGATTAAAAATAAGTGGTTTGCCACAGGAATCTGATGGGAGATGCCACACAGGAAACGTCCTCTGAGGAGTCGGGGCTGGCAGCTTGTCCGACAGGAGAGCCCGAGAGCGGACGAGGCTCGTGGAGGGGCCCGTCTTCCTGTCCCGGGAAACCCCGAGGCGGCAGGAGTGTGGCGCCGCAGTGTGTGTGCTGGGTCCCTTTCTGTTCATGCCAGCTCAAAAGGGGGAAGTCTCCTGTCCTCGTTGGGTC